CTTCACAGTGCTGCTAGTCCTCTTCTTCATCTTCACCTACTTCAAGGTGCCAGAGACAAAAGGCCGGACCTTCGATGAGATAGCCTCTGGCTTCCGTCAGGGAGGCGCAAGCCAGAGCGACAAGACCCCGGATGAGTTTCACAGCTTGGGTGCCGATTCCCAGGTCTAACCAGCCCGTGGCACATCCCGTCTCCTCCGAGCCTCCCAACTTCTCTCCTGAGTGTTTTTAATGCTTGTACAGAAACCAGGAAGGAGGGAGCGGGGGGTCTGGCTCTTCTGCATACGCTCCTTCTCCAGACTCCCCCACTGGCCGCCTGGTTCATCAGTGACAGACTGACATATTTTTGCTAGGAACAATTTTAGCTGGTTTCATGTCCAGGATTTCAAAGCTGATAGATGCAGAAGCAATGACTAATATTTTAAAACCAACCAAGCAGCGTCCTCCAGCCTCCATGAGCAGGAGGGTGGCTCCCTTTTTAATGAAGTGATAGGTTATTTAATGAGAAATCACAAAGTAGAAGGTTTTTAAAGCTGGAAACTTTTTAACATTCTAATCATAGAAAAAACATGTAATTTGACTAAGTCTAAAATAACAAATTTATTTTTTAAAAAATAATTTTTTAAAACAGTAAGATTTCAACCCCCTGTGGGTTCGTGGATGGGGATTCCCTGCCCTCCGGGAATGCCTTGGGGCAGCACTGAGGATGGAGAGGTCTGCGGGTGCAGTCCTGCTCCTCTGTGGGTGCCGGGCTTGAGTGTTTCCCAATGAGGAGGTTGGAAAGGTCACTAGTACTGTAGCAGGTTGCAGAGCACCATCTCCCTTTGCAGTCTCCAGCAGCAGCTCCTCAACTTTCCAAGCAGAGGGCTCTGTTTCTGGCTGTGCATACTTCCTTGCCTGGATTTCAGCTGTTCTCTTGCTGGCTGTGTGCTCAGGTGGGCTGAGATGGGAGGGGAGAGGGGTCTCTTAATTTAATCTTGGCAATATTTGCCTGATTGGTCAACTGTGACACGAAGCGTCGGCAGATGGGAGAGGGGAGAATGCGGCAGAGCAAACCAGTAGCCCTGGCCTTCCCTAGCACGATGGCATCCCTGCCAAGTTGAAGCCCTGTGTTCACAGGAGCGGCCGGCGGTCCCACACTACATCCAGCAAACCTGCCCAGCACTACCACATCAAGTCCCGGACTCACCGAAATTCATCACATGGATACAAACATTTCCTGCTCTGTGTATAGACTGGAAGATATTTATATTATATATATTTTTGTTCAATGGTGTTAATAGCAGACATTAAGTTATAGTGTTTCTGATTGACAAGCAAAAAGTACTGTAAATATTCTTGGAGTATATTCACATTGTATAATGTATACAAAAGGTACAGATAAAAGGTATAGTTTCTATAGCAACTGTAAGGAAAGCTTGTACATGGTTAGGATGACTTTTGTATAGTTAATTACCTGCACTGTAGTTGTATCTATTGCACTGAATTTTAGTCTTTAGTATATTAAAAATAAGAAATACCCTTCTTTTAAAACAAAACTTAAAAAAAACAAAAACACAAAAACAACAAAAAAAAAGAAAAACACAAAAAGCAGCCCTTCTCCCCTGAGTGCAACTGTTGTAGGAGCTACTGGCACAGGCAGTTATTTAATAGTGTTTTTTTATTTATTTGTCTGTTTTGGAAGTGACTATAATAACCACACCTGAAAGTAAACAAAAGGAAGTAAAAAAAAAAACATCTGACAGAACTCATCACACAGCTGTGCAGCATACCAGAAACTGTGCACTTCTTTCTTTTTTTTTCCCCCAACAGATGCATAAAAATAAGTGCCAAGAGAAAGGCGTGTGGTGTGCTAACAATAAATGAGAATGTATGGAGCGACCCAACCTCCTGTGTGTTGTGCTTTTTTTTTTTTGCTGGTGACTTATGGGCAGTGGATCAAACCCTTACCTGGGCCTTTCCCTGTGGCTCTTGGTCATCTTTGGACATGTGTTTGTGGTCACAGAGCATTTTTCTGTGCTACCCCCTGCTCCAGGGGTAGCAGTTGATGGGGAGCAGTGCAACCCCCATAGCACTCCCCAGAACGGTGCTATTACCATCCCAGCTGTGGCCCAAGATAAGGGTTTCTGGCTGTGTTCACCAGTGCCCAGATCTGGGCTGGCTGTGCCCCAACTCCATTTTTCCTCCCTGCAGCACCTTGTGGTGGGGCTGGAAAGGGGGAAGTCACACTGCTGGAGCCAGCGGGAAGGCAGGATGGGGAAATTTGGTGTCTGCACTGGTTTGGAGATGGGCACAGCTGATGGATGCAGGCCTTGTTCTGGGAGTGTTGCTTACAGCACCTTTTGTAGTTTCAGGTTCACTGGGATAGGCAGTGGCTGTGCCTGTCCTGCTCCCAGACCAATTCGTTCCGGACTGGAGCAGTCTGTGCAGCCAAGGCCTCACGGGGCAAGGCAGGGCGTGCGACGGGCTAAATTCCACTTTTACCACTTGGCAAAAAGGGAGCAGCACAGGGACAGCCGGGCAGCTTTTGGGAACTGCAGAAGACCCCAGCTGGGCTGTGGGGCTGTGGTTTTGGCTGACGCAAGCCAGCAGAGCCTGGTTGCTCACAGGCATCGTGTGCTGCCTACCTACAGTCAGGCCCAGGCTGCCTTCAGCCCAGGAGCTCTGTTTTGGGCCCTGCCAGCTGCCAAGCAAGAGCTCCTGCCAATGAGCTCCTTAATGGGATTGCCTCAGCACAGGTGCAGATTAGCAGGGCTCCTCCAGCACGCACAAAACTTTCCCTCAAAGGAAACCAATGTTCTTGGTTACAAAAGGTCTGTGCCGAGCAGTGCCATGCTCCTGGGTGTGTTGTTGCCACTTCCTGGTACTGCTGAGCTGCCTTCAGACATCGCCAAGCCGCCGCATGGGCCCATGGAGGAGCCTTACCAGGGCCATCCCTGGGATTTAACTGCCCCAAGCCCCATCTGGAACCCCCGGAGCTGCACTTTGTGCTGTGGAGGTGCCACCTCTGCCCCCATCTGCAGCTCTGCGGGTGGGCACCTGACACGATCCATCCCCTGAGGGCTGTCGCTGGACCCCACAGCTGCCCCTGGCCCAGTCGGCTGCTCTGGGAGCTTCTGGGGCTGGGATCTGCGTCGGGACAGCACGTTCCTGCGGCTCTGCTGCGAGCACCTAAGACAGGGAGGAATGGCGCTGGTTCCTGGGGGAATTTTTCCCTTTAACAAGGTGCCAAGCACTACAAGCCCGAACACTTCCAGGCAAAGAAATGCTGATGTTGATCACTTCAGTTTTCTATTATTTATTGAAATGTCTCTTTCCCCTGAAGTGTATACAGAGGAAAAGGCTGTTCCTGAGGGTCAGAGGAAATAGCTCCTGTAAAAAATCTTCCAAATCTCCCAAAAATGCTCCTTGTGCAAATTCCAGCAAGACACACAGTGGAACACTGGGTTGAGGATAAGGTCATCTGCCCAGGGCTCCTCTCATTACCATTGCTAGGGTTTCCTTTTCCAGCCCTTGCTCATCAGTGTGTAGGCCCTGCTCCTGGAGATGCCCGGCCCTCAAACCTATGAAAAATTAATTTTCACACTGCTTTAAATAGCCGGGAACAGTGATACTGTGCTGTGTGGCACCACCATGGAGGGGACACAAGCCTGACACGTCACGCAGAGACAGCCTGGCTGTGGCATGCCCTGGGGGGATTACTGCCTCCAAATCCCCAGCCACAGTGATCCAAATCCTCCATGTCCTGAGGCACAGTGCCAGCAGGCGCTGAGCATCCTGGCTGCTGGCACGCCCCCTTGAGTCCCCCGTGTGCTCGGCCCAGTTTCAGTGAGAGCTGCCCTGGTCAGCTGGAACAGAGATATGAGGGTGGATGTGTCCACCAGCATCTCCCGTAGCAGTATTTGGAGGTGTCCCACCTGCCCCCAAGTCTGTCTGCTATGGGTTGCCTTGTGTGCACTGCTCAGAGCTATCCCACCCTCTGTAATTAAAATCAGTTGAACTGGAGTGAATGGCTTTCCCTTTACCAGGAATATCAGTCCTTTCTAATTGTTCAGGTCCCAGCTCGACGAAGCATTTAAAAGCGTACTTGACTCCATCCCAATTCAGCAAGGCAATTAAATGCATTCATAAATCCTCCTGAAGTAAATGAGAATTAATCGTGGGCTTAACGCTCAGCTGAATCCAGACCTCAGCAGCAGGGCAAGTTTCCCTTAACCTCTTTCCCAGCTGTCACATGCTTCAGGGTCTGAACCAAGCTCACTGTGCAGCTGCCTCCAGGTACAGGGCTGGCTCTCGCGGGGCTCCTCTAGCCCTTCTCTAATGTATCTTGGCCTTCATACACCAAGGGTCACACATACTCTGTGCCCTGCTGTTCTTCTTTCTCTGCTCTGCAAGGAAGCCCATGAGAGCTTGGCAGCCAGTTTGATGGGAGCCTATGGGGAGCAGCACACAGCAACTCAGTGGATTTTGTCCTCTCGGGGCTGGCACCAGAGAGAATGGGATGCCTATGTGCTGGCAAGCTCTTGGACATGAAGAAGCCACTTCTTTGGGCTGCAAGCTCTGCTTGGCTAAAAGGCTAGCTAACTTTTTAATCTTTTGCCTCAAGTCCATTGACAAGCATGCTTACAGCTCTTGATGCTGTTCTCATGGGTCCTCCTGGATGCAAGTTCTCCCACGCGTGGAACAAATGAGTCCCTCAGTGTCCAGAGCTACCTATGAGACTCCTTTGAAGTGCTGCAAAAAGTGAGACTGTGGTTGGAGACTGAGGGGTGTTACAGAACGGTGAAACACCTGAGCAAGCCCAGCCATGTTCGGGGGAGCAGGTGTCAACCACCCAAGTTAGGAATGTAGCGAAGACCTTCCCTGGTTTCCTCCCATATCTCTCCATGGTATCTCACTCATGAAAGTGAAAAGAAAATTGAGGAAAACAGTAACAAGTATATGTCAGCTGGTTTTAGCTTCTGAATCACAGACAACATGAACAGACAATGAACAGACAACATGAGGATGCAAAAGGCTGTTCTTATTTACATAAGCAAGTAGGTAACAATTCATGCATTTTGTGATGGTTGTGCTTTTGTTTCCCACCCTCATGCTGTTATTCCATAACAGTCTACAGAGGTTGACCAGCATGTGAAAATAAACTAATACCACAAAGCTGAACTTTCAAACACCTGGAGATGGAAAAGGACACATCTAGAAAGATGACAATAGCAGACAGGACCTATGCCTTGTAATGTATTTTCATTGTTTTCAACATAGTTAGATAACTAGGATCTGTAGCCAAGGACCTGGCCCTGGTAGAAAGAGCTCCTTATTTTGTGTAAAAAGGCTTGGAGTTAATCAACTTTAACAAACGGCCAATGGCTTCTAGAGATTCTTGTTGGGGCAGTTGTTTCAGCAGGTCAAAGGCTTTTGTCCCCATTTCATAAGCCTGGAATGAAACAAAAAAGACAATGTAATTGTCAGGAATTTGGCTTTTCTCAAGGAGCACTTAAAATACCTGCAGAGGCTCATTGGAATAGCTGCACTGGATCAGATCCAGGCTCCAGTCACTCAGCTGCCTGTTTCAGAGGGTGACCTGTACAAGCTGCTTTAGAGGAGAGAGTAAAGCTGCCAACAGATTTATTTTATTTATTTTATTTATTTATTTAGGATCCAGTGGTGCAGACAGAAGAGATTACTAACCCCAGCTCCTCCTGCTGGAGATCATTACCTCCCATCTGATACAGCAGTTCATCTGAACATTCTCAAAGCTATTTCAAGCAGAAACAGCTGTATTGACTCAGTTTGAACTAAATCCCTCACTTCCCTCAGCAGTTCATCCAGTGACTAGACATTCCCACAATTACAAAGCTTTGCCTTTTTTCTAATTTGAATTTGTTTCTTTGTGTCTTCCAAATCCTATGGCTTTCTCTAGTAAAACGAAGAGACCATTAATAATCTGTATTTTCACCCTTCAAATCATAGGCAGAAGAAACATGAGTTTCTGACTGCTTATCCCAAACAAAAAGGCCCAATTTCTAGGTGATTAGTGTTCAGCACTTTCTCCAAATCCATTATTCTGAATGCAGAGAACTGGACACTGGTTACACCTGAAATTTGTAGCCACAATCTCTTAAATAAAGCAGCGCAAATTCAAAAGTGAATTACAAGGTCTGATAGTGTGAACCTACATAAACATCATGGTAGATGCAGGGAATCTTGCTCAAGTAGGGACACATGCAAGACCTATGTTTTTTTTTGCTGTTTAACATCCAAACTGATGTCTAAATGTGGCTTGTGACAGGCAGGTACACTGCCAGGACATCCCAGATAAAGGACAAACCTAGAAAACATGAGTAACTACTGGATCCATCGTGGATGGTGTGGCAGAGATCAAAACAGATCCAGTGTTTTTTTTTTAACTTTGACAGGGTGCAAATCATGGGCTGGCTTCATGCAGAGCTGCCAAGGCATATTTGCCTTAGGTTATCCAGTGCTCCAAGGCAGTTTTGCACACAGGACAGGTGCCAGGACTGGCTTGTTCCTCCTTTTGTGGGATGGGGCCAACACTGAAGCAGAGGTAGGGAACCCTCCTGCACCCTTTCACCTCGTGAAACTCACCTTTGATAAATCCATAACCAGATAATAAAGCATTGCAAGAGCATGTAAAACTCTTGCGGTTTCGCCAGGTTGTTGCTTCAGTGCCTGTTCTCTGATGTCTAGTACTGCATTCAGTACTTGAGTTGCTTCTGCTTGCTGGGCTTCAGCTGCATCAAGAATGAAATAAACTTGTTGGATGTATGTATACAAGATAATATATTCAAAACTAACTAATTATCTCTTCTAGACATCAAAGCTGTTCTACTACAAGCATCAATGTGGTATCCCAGCTCCATGCAAATTCCATACCCATTAACAGATACCTTTTCATCCAGTCAGTAATTGTGTTGATTAGCCTTTAGTAAGGATGTGAAGTCAAAACAGCTGTATGAAAAGAGCAACTTTCATACTCTTGTCATAACCAAAGATGGAATCATGTAGCCCTGCCTTGTGTGGTTCCTATTGCAGCAACTACTGCTTGAGAGAATGCCAGGCATGGAGATTTGCAGAAACATTTTTCTTCTCTGACAATATTCTTAGGAGCATAGGCGGTTAAAAGAAGACAAGGAACAGAGCTTAGTCTTTTCCTAGTCATTTCACTTCAGTGGAGTGTAGAGTAGTACCATACAATCTAGCGTATTTCTCAATGCTTCATGCAACTTCCCCTACGTCCAAGTGGGAGATTCCCCAGCTATTCTTCTGAGAGTATTCTCCAGATTAATATATCCAATTATCAGCATATGCTATTCCACTGTGTCCCACTGCTTCAGATGGAAACCTACATAAGTGAGATGAAATATCACTTTCACATAATTAAATGGACAGAAAGGAGCTGTCAAGAAACAAGAATGCTCAAGAGGAATAAAATCCTGAAAGACAAAATCTTGTATTGTTGAAGTCACTGCCAGGAGTGCTGTGAAAAGGAGCAGGTAAACCAAAAGGCGAACGCTGTGTTTTCACTTGAACACCCTCATTTCTAAAGTGGTCTCATTTGTTTCATCCAGCACTATCCACTAAGCATAAATACCCATGATTCTGATTAAATTTGGTCTAAAGTAATGCAGTGCAAAACCCAACACAGTAAATATGAACACTAAGCTATATGGATTTTTTTTTAAATCCTGTCTCAGAAACATTTTTGCGCAATGGTGCTTACTCATACTGTCTTCACTGATTTCTTTGTCCTCAGTGAATGGAGACTTTTCTGCTCTTGACTTGTGAATTTGCTCCTGTGTTTGAACTGACTTCGTAAGAAAGGCATGCCAGATGTCAGTTACCTACCAGGAAGTAAATGAATTATTTCACTTGTATGAACACATGGCATTTAGCAACTAATTATTCTATAAACAATGTGTCCTGCAATGCATGCCCCTGCCACAATAACCCAAGTGCTTGCTGGTTAGTGGGCCGGCTGCTGCCGAGCTGGCTCTTTCACACGGAGATCTGATGGCTCTTCTCCCAGTGGGAGCACAAGCTGGAATTTCATTGCTCTATCTTTTAATTTTCATCAGACTCGAATAAATCTAACTAAATTGTTAACCAAAAGCAAATTTGGTGGATGTTTGTAAGGGGAGTGGAGGCAGATTGCATTATCTGACACAGCCTCATTTACCACAGAAAATCAGGCTAAACAAATTAAAGATTTTTTTTTTCTTTTCAGTTATTACGTTGGTTAGACAACTGTTCACAGAATCATAGAATCACAGAATCACAGAATGGTTTGGGTTGGAAGGGACCTTAAAAAACATCTAGTTCCACCCCCTGCCACGGGCAGGGACATCTCCCACCAGATCAGGTTGGTCAAAGCCCCATCCAACCTGGCCTTGAACACCTCCAAGCAAGGGGCATTCAAAGCTTCTCTGGGCAGCCTGTGCCAGTGCCTCACCACCTTCATAGTGAAGAATTTCTTCTTGTTCCTTCCTTTGCTTTGCATGCTGACAAGCTTTTATCACTGCGACTTTTCACTGGTACTCTGCTTAAATTTTACATTGCTAGTTCACATTCCATTGCTGCCCTTCCGCCCTTCCCTCACTATGGAAACTCTGGCCACCATCTCCAAGACATCTGGGTATGTCTTTAACCTTTTGTGGGGAGCTTTTGGTAGTAAAGCTATTTTTAACAAGGTTTGGCTGCCAAAACTGAAGACTGCAACTTTATATATATATATATATATATATATATATATATATATATATATATATATGTATGTATGTATATACATACATTTAGCACACGTAGGATTTATCTATTCTGGTTTAACTCAGGGAAATATATAGGTATGAAAACAGTTTCTGAGATTGATGCTAAAATGCTGATATAGTGACCATCATATTAAAGGCAGTCAGAAAGAGGAAAACATTGAAAAGTGCACAGAAGAAAAAAAAAAAAAGAGAAACAGATACAGGATGAGTACTGGTTTTACTAACCTCAGCATACAGTGAGTCTGCTATGTCCATTTTGTTTTGGCGAAAGAAAACATTAGCCATGTGGAAACACCCTCCAGAGGTCTCAATAGATTTTAGCCCAAATGTAGAACTAGCAAGGTAAATCTGAAAACAATATTTAAAAAATAATTATGCAGAAATTTAGCATTCATATCTACCCTGGGAAATTTTTCACTACAGATTAGTAATACTGCAAGCATTCTGTCTTTCTGTGTAACTATAACATTAGTTACACCTAATTATAACTATAAACTATGTTACTACAAAACCTGTATTTTGTGTTTTATACAAAGGAATGCAACACCCCCAAATCCCTGCTAGCTGGGGCAGACGATTCCTTATCATGGTGTGCTACCCTGCTGAAGAGTGGAACAGGTTTCCCACACCTCTTACTGTGCAACTCATGTCTCTCCTCTTCAAACGAACAACTTGCTGCTGCTTTTCAGCTCTCCAGTCATGCGCCAGGAGGCTGTTTCTCCCCTGAAGCCCCAGCCAAAGTGAGGGGAGGGAAGTGGGAAGGCAGTGGTACATTGCAGTAGTACATTCCAGCTATTCTGAGCTGGCGTGTGACTCTCAGCAGATCTCAGACACGCAGCCAGAATTTGAGCAGGTCTTGGGCTGCTCTAATGTAGGCCAGCGACTCACTAATAGTAAAAAAACCCTATAACTTTACTCCTTTCAGGCACCAGATTCAGGGAACCTAAAAATACAGTGGCATAGCAGGGAATCTCTAGGTTTACAAACTAAACAAAGACATTTGTTAGGATGGAAAGTGTCTAATTCTCCTCCACCTTATGTCAACGTTTACACCCACACAAAGCTGTTGTAAAAAGCTACTATCAAATTCAACAGTAGTGGGTATACATCACTCTGCACTGGATAAATTTAGGCTATATGGGACATAAATAGGAAGTCATGGAGACCATCTGCCTTTTGGGGGATTAAATAACAGGCAAAGCATCCCAACGAACACTGCTGGAAATAATGACTTCAAATTTTACAAACTGCTCTTATGGCTAAAAAGATTGAATTGGGGAACATGTTATTGAACCAGACATTTAAATAGTTAAGTAAAACATTCATTAAATAATGGATGATGGAGCATTGTCACCTAACAAAAAAGTATTAAGGAAAATGACAGCCAAAATATAAAGAAACCTATCTGTTGAATAAAAGGCAACTATACCAATTTATGGTAGGAACGCCTGTTCATCTCAGGACCATAACAAAACCAATAGATAAATTTATAAGCAGACCTAGTAAAGCCAAGTTATGTATCACTCAAGAGAATAATGGTAAGTGGTAAAACAACTTTAGCTAACGCATGGATACAAAGGTGTCTTAGACTACACAGGTCAAGTGTTGTTAACATGTACTCTTATGGTACTTAAGATCAGTCCCAAAAAACTGTCTGCTGAGGTTTTCTATAGGATCTGGAAAAGCTAGAGAAGGAAGGAAAATTGAAGTGTTGCTGTATTTTAATTGGCTCACGTCATTTGCCAGGTGATATAAAGCCTGTTCAAAGTTTCCTTCAGCAGCACAGAGAAGCCCCAGACTGCGATGTAATCTATGCTGAACTGCAGCGCTGCAGTCTGGAGTTCTGAGGACAATCCACTGAGCTTGGGAGAGATACTTAGATGCCTGCAGATGATGGCCAACACCTGAAATGACAAAAAAAAAAAAAAAAAAAGGCAGGATAAAGATAATTTCATATTTAGAAATGCAGAGGATACTGCCAGCTATCCCTTTGCTGTAGCTTGACATGAAGACCTAATTTGTGCATTCCCCTCTTCTTTTCAGAGTGCTCCTCAGTCAAGCAGGTGTTGAGAAGCTAACTTGCAGGCAGGCTAGAGCTAGGAGAGAAACCAGAAACTGTGTATTGCATTCAGTACCTCTGAAAGACGTGTACAAAACAGGCTAGCTCCAGACAGCAACTAACAACTAGTGTATTATCACACTAGAATTACTGATGTGATTTTTTTCCCTTACCTCACCACTCCATTTTACAACAATCCTTGAGATTGCTCAGTTTTGCCAGTATTGTGGATACTCCTATAACAGCAATGGTTTACAGTAATTGTAGAATCATTCAGGTTGGAAAAGACCTCTAAGATCATCTAGTCCAACCTTTAATTTTATAAGTTTAAATTTAATTTCTCAGTCCTTTACGTTTACAGCTGAGGAGACCAGTTCTCTGCATAGAGGGTCCCAACTTGACATTGTTTATAAAGCACGCAGTCAATGAGAAAAAGCTCTGCTTCTGGTGGAGCTCACTTCTGTGAATGAACTGAGTTGTTCCTCTGATGCAATGGCCTCAGAAATGTGCTGGTTCCCAGAGAAAACAGCCCAACCAACCGCCCTTGGGAATTTAATGCTTTTGAGAATTCTATGAAGCCACAGAGGTAAACAATAAAATTTTATACTGCTTCTCATGTGGGAATCGGTAGAGACGGAGAAAACATTTCATTTGCTTTCATTGATCTCTCACCACAGATGAGTGATTCTTTTCCCCAGACTCACGCAGAAAATGGGGAATAACTTCTCAAATCTCTCTGGAATGCCCTTGAGGCAGGGCAGAGTAGAGACATGGCACAATGCTGAAATGTAGAGCTGGTCCTTCCCTGATAAATGGTAAAAGGAAACCAGAAATCTGAGCCAAGGGAGTTCTTGCCCTTGCCAAAGTTACTATTTAGACCAGTGCTTACCAATGCAGGCCTCAGCCAAGAGGAGATAAGCAGGCACCAATTGCACAGAACTTGAGCCATACACTTCAATGCTGAAACGCAACGCATGCAAAGCTGCAGGCATTGCTTTTTCGTGCTTTCCATCCCAAAGAAACTTCTGGGCTGTGCTGTAGGTAAGATCAATGATGTATTTCTGCAGGGATAAATAATAGTGAGACAGAGTGAGCAAGGAGAAAGAATATGCAAGGTCTCTTTTTACATCCAAGTTGGCCAACTGTTAACAGCGATTGTAATTTTTTCTGTGTCTGTAAGTAATAGATGGAAATTAAAGCTGTCATATTAGAACTTGGATTCCATTGCTATTTCTAGTAAGAACAGCTTTGGGCACCCTCTTAGGTCAGGTGCTGTCTTATGAGACAAGGAATCCGTGAGGCCTATAAAGAAAGACTAATAAGGTTGTAGCAATAAAAGCTATGAAGCACAGAAAATGATCATCACAGGACCACAGAAAAGATTAGACAAATGGGCTACGGCAGGATTTTGCTGATGATAATAACAGTGGCTCATAGCAGGCAGCAGAGCGTATGGTTTACCAAGCTGGTGCCAGCATGGCACAGCTCCAGCTGCAGGAGATGCTGTCTGGAAGCAAGGAGGGAGCTCACCGCATAGTGCTGCAGCACACTGCCCCGCAGCTCTGAGTAAGGTCAGGGCAGGATGGCAGAGTACCTGCATGCATCCTGGAGCATCCTGGTTGCCAGCTTCCCCTCACCCTCTCCTGGCAAGTTCTGGGCTCTGAAGGCCTGTCAGTTTGGGTACAGAGTCTGGAAAGCTGGTCAAAGTCAGAAAACCCTAGTGCATTGAATTATACTCCTGTGTCTCCATTGCCCAAGCTCGGCTTGGTGGTCAAACACTTTGTAGGATTTCTGTTTGCTGTCAGAAACCATGTTTCTCACAGGTATAGTTGCTTCCTAGCAGTCCACACTGCATTTGGTCTTTTTACCCTTTGCAGCACCTGATCTGCTCATCAGCTCCCAAAATGTACCTGTATCTCCATCTGAATGCCTGTTGGTTGCCAAGTGCTCTCCAGCAACTGTGCCCTTACAACAGGCTAAGGGTTGCCAACAAAAAAAGAGCCAGGATACTTACTTATCTATTTCTCTTAGCTTTCATCATAATTGTTGCCAACTCCTGGCACTTCTGTGTTGGCTTTTTGTACAAGTGGTGCAGAGGGAAGGCTGCCTGCACAGAAACCTCATTGCTGGTGTGCCTAGCAGGGCTGCCATGGTAAGGCAGCAAGACATCTTCTCTTGCCTGTGCAGCAAGCACCCGCAGAAAATAGCGCTTTACCTCTTTGCAGGCTCTGCTTTGTTGCCTGGTTTTCCAGCTGCAGCTGAGCAGAGGGCAGAAAAAGCAAATTCCAGTGCTTTTAGAGGACAGGTTATGGCTTAGGCATTTTACTGAACTTTAAGTGATCAGATAAGATAAGAATCATGCCATAGGTGAAAGAATGGCTCAGGGACAGGGAACCACAAGGACAGTGTATGAGTGCATCCTGGAGATAACAGCTGAGATAAAGGGACTGTGCTTCCCAGGTAAATGAGAGCCTTGAAGAACCCTGCTGCAACAAGGAGATCCAAGAGCATGGAAACACAACCATCACCCCCTGTCTAGCCCCTGAGCTATCAGCGTATAGAGAGTGAGAAAGACGTGGAATCATGGAATGGTTTGGGTTGGAAGGGACCTTAAAGCTCATCTAATCCCACCCCCTGCCTTGGAAAGGGACACCTCCCACCAGACCAGGTTGCTCCAAGCCCCATCCAGCCTGGCCTTGGGCACTGCCAGGGATGGGGCAGCCACAGCTCCTCCGGGCAGTCTAGGCCAGTGCCTCCCCACCCTCTGAGTGAAGAATTTCCTCCTCACCTCTAATCTACATCTACCCTCTTTTAGTTTAAAGCCTTAACTCCTTGTCCTATCACTGCAACTCCCTGACATTCCCCCCCCCTCCCAGCTTTGCCATAGACCCCCTTTACGCACTGGAAGGCCGCTGTAAGGTCTCAGTCTTCTGGGGAAGAGGAGGCTCTGGGGAGACCCTACAGCAGCCTTCCGATACCTAACGGGGGCCTGCAGGAAAGCTGGGGAGGGACTCGTTGTCAGGGAGTGCATATGCACAAAACACAAACTGAGTTGGGGGATCAGGTGCTGAGGTGAAAGTCAGCACATGGTGAGGGCAAGACACAATGAAAAGCTGCTGTTTATCAGACTGCCTTTTCTGTCCTTGCCACTTGTTCTCCCAACGCCGGCTCTGATGATCAGATTGTCATCTGGGGAGGTGCTGGAGATCTGCATAATTCTTTTTTTTACTCCTTGTCAATAGGATGATCACCGATTCCCATGAGGTAAGTTATCTTAAAACACTGGCAGTGAGGACAAGCTAAAGGTTAGACTCTTGCACGGTTCCCAGGAGGAGAAAGGGCAGGAGACAGAAGCCCTGCAGTGCTGAATATCTAAGGCAGCACAGTGGCAAGCCTGGAGGGCATCGTTAGCTTTGGCCCTGCACTGTCTTGTTTAGCCCCACTCCTTCCCGGAGACCTGCAAGCTCTGGGCTCTTTTCATGTGTGTAGCAATTACAGAGATCTCTCTGAAGATGCCCCCACACAGTTTTTCCCTCGGTTAGGGTTTGAGGAGGCTGAGGACCCCAGCTCTGCTCCAGGCAGGAACAGGGGGCTGGGTGCACACCTGGGGTTCTGTGCCATGTTCATTTCCTCACTCAGAGGCACCCATAAAGATGGCATGCTTGAAGAAAACACAATTTGAAGAGGAAGTCAGGCTTCCAGTCACTTTGATCGCGGGTCCTTGGAGTTAAAACCCACAATCAGCAGGGCTAGCATCGGTGCTGGAGGACTGCTGTAGCTGCGGTGTGAACTCTTTTCCCACACCCAGAGGCTGGGGTAAACTGACAGCACAAAGGCAGGTGAGGCTATTTTACAAACAGAAACTTGGAGTTTTGTCAGTTTGGAGGTGCTGTCTGTAGGCACCCCCACGGCTATGTTGACAAAAGCAGATTTCTATCAACAAAGTTTTGGAGTACATAATGAGGTATGAAACTCATAACCTCCTGGCTCTCAGCTTAATGCACCACTTTCCCTTAGGCCAAAGGGCATTTTGGCTTTCCTGTGTCCTGACAGAGGCTCAAGCTGTGTTTTTTTCAAATAAACACAGTGTAGGAGTTTGCGAAGTACAAGAGAAATGTTCAAAAAATAATAAACCTATGTGCTGGCTTTCAGCAGAATAGTTTCTCTATGATTGTGAGGACACCACATAGCTCTTCCCTTAGCTCCAAAGGCCTTCTTTAGAGCATTTTTATTAGCTCTGTGAATAGAAAAATAATGAAGTCAGCAAGATGGGGCATTAAATACTCTCACTGTCTCCATACTGCTTTTCTGATGCTTGTCAGTCAACCTAGGCCAACCCTCGTTTAGCAGTTTCCCTATACCTTGCTGGACATAAAAGCAGACCTCATTTGTAGGCTAGGAGCTGCAGTCTCAATGTGTGAGAAAGCAAGTATCAAACAAGATGTTTCCACTTCTTCACTCCTTTCTTAGGAGAGAAGGAAGACAAGGCGTATCCTCATATAACATTCTGAGAATGTGTTTTATTTAAATAGTTTGGAGACAAAGGTCAAAGAACAAATGCAATCATAGTTGTTAAAAATCCTATAAATATCTTCACTTAGAAAAACAATTTCCGTTTGCTGTCTGTAGCTTTTCCTACAAAGCCAATCCAAACCT